GCAGAGGAGTGAGGACCGGGAATCTGGCTCCAAAAGGCCTCAACACCGAGAGAGAGGGTCGGTATAGAGTCTAAAATCCACCTATCCATCCATTATGTGGACTGCTTATCCTTTGAGGGTGGCACGAAGCCTGGAGCCAGTCCCATCTAAGATTGGGCGAGAGGTGGGGTGCCTTTACCGTAAAAAAAAAACTGATGACTTTACATAAAGTGAATCTAAATCATCTTGATCGCCCCCTGGTGGCAGGCTGCATAGTAAGTCATAAACAACGTCTCACTTGACCTATACAACCGCAGGAAGTACCGCTGCTTCTTTCATTGTCACTCCATTGTGTTTCTGTTGTGTGGCTTTTGCGGTTGTGTGATGGTTCTTGCACTGGTGTTTTCTGTTAAAGCACTATTGTCTCGGCCACCGTAACGACACAAACACAATGACTTGAAATATTGTTGGAAAAATGTCACCCAAAGACATTAGATTTCTTCTTTGAAACATAGCTGCAGTGATTGAATAAAGCTACGCTAGCACAAAATACTAGAATTACCATGTGTCTCTCATATTACCCCCTATACATGTAACACTAGCTTTGAGTTTTCCATTTAGTTTTCTCTCATTCTTCTCTTATTGCTGTGTCCAGTGTTTTCCACTGCATCAGTTTCAGTCACATCAGCTACACAGCATCTGTGACATTTTCAGCATCTAAAAGATCAATATAAATGTACAATATACAACACATTTCAATGCTGACATCACTTTTCTCAGAGAAATAGAGAAGGATTTATATTTACTGTCACTAAGATATCCTTCACATTAAGTATATAGCTGATGTAGACAATACCAAACAAATCACATAATTTTCAAGCCCTTTCAAGTTGTTCGCAGACACAGGGGCTTTAAAATATTTTGACTGATTATATTTCTTCTCGGGAACAGGTGGGCGACTGTTCTTGAGTGACGTGTCCCTGATCGCCCTGAAAACCTGTTTTCTCGATCAGGTTCTCATCGGGCTCTGTTTATCACACTGCTTTCAAGTGGGCGGGATGTCACATACTTCCAAACTGCACCCACACAGCCCTGGGAAAGAAGTTTTTGAATTTGAAATGCTTAATAAACAAGGGTTTTCTTCTTTTTTCTTTTTTTTACATTGCTGTTTGTTTGTTTTGAATATTTAATGTCAGGGAAAAACATCTTTAATCAGGTTTTCAGGGACTTTAATATTCACTCATTCAGATCACAAAACTTTAGTACATTTGTGATATGTTGACTTGTGTACTTATATCATCCAAAATGTTTCCAACAATGTTCAAACCCAGAAAATCCCCAACTTTATTCAAGATAATAGGGTAATAGGTCACTTTTATTCTTTTCATGCCCGGGCCACACTGGTTTTCGTTTGAAACCTCAAAAGGGCTGTAGTTATACTCGCTCGCTTGCTCTTGCTATCTCTCTCTCTCACACACACACTTATTTACATTAATGGTTATGCCAATGATGGTGAAGACGACAACTCCCATGATTACAAGTGTATTTAATTTTCTTTGTATTGGTTATTTATGAGGAAATGACCACATCATATCACATCACATGCAGCTTCAATGATGGCAAGGGCTACAAAAATCCACACACAGCCCGGCACTGCTCCTGACAGATGACCACCCCGCAGCACACCACCAGCACATTTGCTATTGTTGTCTGATTTTGCCTTCACCAAAGAACTAATCCTCCCCACCCCACTGTGGCACTGCTTCCTCTCTAGACCCTCTGTGGCATTTTTTCCGTCACTCAGGCAGGAAACACAATGAGCTTAAGTTCTTTTTTTTCCATACGAGTGTCACGATTAACGTATGATTAAATCTGAATCAGAATGAGTTATAACCCTCAGTAATGACACAAGGGAGAGCTTTAGTGCCAAAAGGCTTTCTTCAAAAGAAGAGACTCTCTTTTTAAAGCTATTCCAGTGTGCAGTTAGTGAATAAGCTTGGGGAGAAGGATCACCAGATGGCTGCTTGTCATTCCTGTGAGTCGGAGCTTTCACTTCTGCAAAGATGCTGTGACACTTCAAATTCAAACATCCTAATATATTTAACGCCAAACTATTTTACCACAACATTATTTTTAACGACAGGAAATAAAACAAATATAATAAATCATAATTTAAACCAAGTGCTTTCTAGGGTTGGGTGATACCTCAATCTAATCTTTTATCAACTTGGAATCGTGTAATAATACAAATAATATGATCATGTCTGGCTTTACCGTTATATCGATACAGCAAGATGCCCATTTACTCAATACCTGGCAACTCTTATTTCAGTTCAGGTTAATGTTTCGCTCAGTTTATCTAATGTAAGGGCTTTGATATTAAGATGGATATTTTTACCTGTTTTTACCAAATGATTAACTGGTTTATCACGTTTTAGGCAGATTGACAGATAAAAATAACTATTTACAGTAAATGAATCAACACTGATATAAAGCTCATCAAAGCAGGACTAAAGAACATCAAAGAAGCTGAAACCTTGAAATATTCAGAATTTTTGCTTGATAATACCCAACATGATCAATTCCAAAATGCTACTTTTCTTTAAAACATGTTTAAACTAATAACTGTGGCACTTCAACACAGGCTTTTCTTCTTTTGTATAACCTGCTGTAGTGTGACTGGTATTTCAATTTGTGTGTTTGTGCTTGTGTGTGTGTGTGTGTGTGTGTCCTGGAGACAGCTGTACTAGGAACTATCACAGAGGAGGATTTGAGTTCTTTGACAGGTTTATATGGTTTATATTTCTGTCTTTGTCACAGAGATAGTGTCAGAAACATGCACTTTGCTTTTGCAAAACTTTTCAGGTGGTTAGTTGAAATCAATGTTAGATTAGATGGAACTTTATTGATCCATTTGGGAAGACTTCCTCAGGGAAATTAAAATGTTGGGGCCATGAACAAAGATGGGTGTGACCTGACAGATGCATACTTCATCATGCATACTCATCATGTAGTAATGTCTACTCAGTTCATGGCTGGTGTGATCCTATTGTCTCTGTTATAAATGATTTGATTGCATATCACTGTTTAAAAGTCCAGTGTGTAAGATTTAGGTGAGAGGGATCTATTGGCAGAAATCTAATGTAGAAAAATCCTCATGATGTTTTCAGTTAGTTCGTTTCATCTAAATTTTATGAATTGTAGTTTTCTTTACCCCAGAAAAGACAGTTTATATTTAAATACTTCATATTTGCATCGAGGGGCTCCTCTCTACTGAGGCCGCCATGTTTTTTTTACTGTAGTCCAGACTGGACAAACTAAACACCTTTTGAATTTTTATGACAACTGAAGCTACCACAGGTTCTTTTTCATGTTTGGAAGGAGAGGGTGAAGTGAGGGGTGCTCAGCTGCAACATGCAATTTCAACACTCGATATCACTAAATTCTACACACTGTACCTTTAACTCCCAGCGGTAACTATGCAGCCGACCCAGCGGTAAGTGCAGCTCAGTCCACTTGTCACGTGTGCACAAATAAGGACAGTAATTTACGTGATTTATTCAGATGCCTTGAATTCTGGAGAGCACATCCTGAGGAAAAGCAGTGAGTAATTTTGTGGGAGCGAGAACAGAAGGCAAAGTGAATCATTATTAAAGTAGCTGCGCAACAAAGAGAAAAGAAGTGGCGTGTTCCTCAGTGAGTCGGAGCTGCTGCAGGACAAACAGATGGCTTCTCTGCCTGTCGGCTGTCCACTTTGTCCTCAGAGAATTTATCATCAACTTTTCAAATGTTTAAGACAATGTAACAAAAAATGGACAGCCAAGGTTACATTCATAGCGACAGAGAGCACTAAAGTAATGTTCAGTCAACTTTTCATTCTTGAGTGAAGTTTCAAAAACCAACAGAGTCACATTAGCTGTTTTCAGATATAAAATGTTCAAGGTTTATGGTCCCTACATGAAAAACGCAGCAGGAGATTCTCCAGTCAGGCGTGTTGAAGACAACAGGTTGTGTTGTTTGCAGCAAATCAACACCAGGGTCGGACCTTATTGTCAAGATCTCTCGAATCTTAGTGAATTTCCAAGTTGACACCTTTGTCTGTGACTTACATGTATGACAACTCTTTTTTTTTTTTTTAGTTTTGCGTTTTGCATCAACATGTCCACTCGCTGTGCATCCTTTTTTGTATTGTTCTGCTGAATTTTCACGTTGGCTCACCCAGAAATTATCCACAGATTTTACAATGGAAAAACGTTTGGACATACAGCCTCTACAGATAATTTCAGGGGACATTTTGGACTTCAGTGTATGTCTGAAAGAAGCTTGTGTCACTTAAAACAAACAAAATTCTCTACACCTTTTGTTTCAATAGTTCCCTGTCTACCCCTCCAGAGTGTCTCCTCCCTTGTTAGTTTGACCCTCTGAATGAAATTCGCAATCACATAAAAGCTGCGAGAAATAAATAAGACTCCCATTGAGACCACTTAGTTATGAATTCAAAGCTGTTCTTTTTTTTGCTATTTCTCTCTTTCAGAAGGGATGGATAGAGTAGATAACAAGAGAAAAGGCTTTAAACAGAACTCACAGTGGAAATGCATTACAATTTCAATACACGGAAATAATTGGAATTCATTTTGCAGGATGGCACTGAGAGAATCAACCTTTCAAGACAGGAAACGACCCAGACACAGGCGCCATTACTGCTGTAAAAAAGGAGAAGGATAATCAGCCTGTCCATAGATTAAAATGTTTACCGCTGTATTTTTTATTTCTACACAAAGTAAAACACAATGTTAATTATGTGGTTTGGGTGTATGTGTGAGTGAGTGAGAGACAGGAGCACTCACTCTGTGCTTCTAGTCAGACCTACAAACATCAAGTGGTCTTCAGTAAGTAACCCTTACTTTTACTGATGTATGTATTAAAGACACTTTCCTCTGATGTTGACATGAAAGACACATACAAGCGGTATATGGCTAGTTGGTTGCCACACCGAACAAAGAGAAAGAAGAAGGAAGTCATTTACGGACAAACCATTTCAGGAAAACCAAAAATCATCATTATTTAACAAATTTCAAAGGCGATGTCTTCCACGATGTCTTCCACGATGTCTTCCACATTGTCTTCCACATTGTCTTCTACAGTGTCAACAAACCCAAAGTTAAATACAGTTAATGTTGCGAAGAACGATATTATATACAACAATACCTCGGGCTACGTGGTCATGGACATACATGGTAAGGGGTGTTTTGGCAAAGTTGCCAAGTGTTTCAATTTAGACACTGCCGAAATAGTGGCAATAAAATGTCAAATCGCGGATGACGAAATAGTCTCTAAGGAATTGAAGATTTTAAAAGCGATCAGTGTCCTTGATTCAGACAAAAAGAACATTGTGAAATTCCAAAACAGTTTTAAGCACAAACACCTCTCCTGTATTGTCTTTGAAATGCTAGACCTTAGCCTTCACGACCTGATGCAAAAAAGGAACTGGTTGCCCCTGAGTCTCAATGAAATTCGCCCTGTGGTCCACCAGCTACTGGTCAGTCTAGAGGCTCTCAAAAGTCTTGGCATCATACATGGAGACTTAAAAATTGACAACGTAATGCTTGTCAATCACAAGGATAAACCATTCAAGATCAGGCTGATAGATTTTGGTCTGGCCATTCCAGCAAGTGACGTGAAAGTTGGAATGCCGATGCAGAATCCTCTGTTCAGGGCTCCAGAAGTCATGTTGGGCCTCCCCTTGACCGAAGCTGTTGATATCTGGTCACTGGGTTGCCTCATGCTCTTTCTCTATGTGACTGACAGCCCCTTCCCTCATGATTGTATGTATGGGTGGATGAAAAATTTGGTCGACCTGGTGGGTCAGCCAGCAGACCATTTGCTGGCTGCTGGAAAATACACCAAGTTGTTTTTCACAAAAAAAAAAAAAATAGGGTGGAGACTGATGACACCTGAGGAGTTCAAGAAGAAGCATCATCAAGAGCCAGATGAAAGCAAGTCTGTTTATAATGCTTTTGAAAAGAATTTAGAAAAAAAAACAGTAGCCGAACAGGATCAGCTTGAGCAAAAGGATAAGATGGCATTTTTTGACCTCCTGAAATGTTGTCTGCAAGTTGATGCTAAGCAGAGGATTACTCCCAGTGAAGCCCTTAGACATCAGTTTATAACATTGGTTCACATGGTAGATGAAATGGAGACCAGCTCCTATGCAAACACTGCCTTTGAGCTCATGATTGTTTCCCCATTGGATAATTTGGAAGTGAGTTCCGTCAACACTGTAACAAATGAAGAGTCAACCTCCATTTTTTCAAGCACTGGAGCTGCAGCTGTCATACCACCCGTGGATGCTGATTTTGTCAAGGCTGTCCCTTATGAACCCTTTATGAAGGGGCACTGCAGGGCCAGCAAGTTGTTCTGCAGGATGGCAAAGCGATTGCTTCATCCATTCAAACTCTGCATGCAGAAGTCGAAAGATGCTGAATCCTGAATGGCCCCTGATAGAAAAGAAGGTCTGCCCACAGATGCACTGTATGTATGAATGGGTGAATGGCATAGCCTTACTTTGAAGTGCTTTGAGTGGTCATCACAACTAGAAAAATGCTATAAAAAAGCACACCATCTATATGTTTTCTTCTCTTGCTCTGTCACTCCACCTCTGGTCCCTGGTGTATTTTTGTCACATTACTCCATGAAGCAAACTTCTCTCCCTCTGTGTCATCATGTACAAATATAACTCTTTTTATTTTCATAATAACAACCAGTTTAACAGTGATTGAATATGACGGCTACACAACTGTTTCTGGTCTCTATCTTCTCCTTTAAGAAGAGACACTACCAGTTTCATGTTTTTAATAGCGTTACACCAATGGGTGTTGATTTCTTCAATGCTGAATGTAAAGTATTCATCTGGTCAGAGCACAACACAGTGCCACACTTTTCCCAGTCTTGCAAATCAGTGGTCACCTTCCAACAGTGGAGTTTCTTAACACAATCAAACAACTGCAAATTCCAGAAAGAAGCAGTGATGTATTATTTATTTTCCTTTCAGCTACACTGTAGTTTTAGAGAAAATACCACCATTATACAGGAGAAAAACAAATCTGTTGCAGGCAGCTCACAGATGCTAAAGTTAGCTCACTTATGATGCTAGCTGGCTTTTATGGACCCTAACATTACCTTGGCGCTTGGTAAGTTCCCTGTGTTTATTCCTACTGCCCGCCATGGCAAATCACAACTCTCTCATATGGTCGGGAGGTTTATGTGAAGGAGAAGTGACAAAAAACTAAATG